AAAAAAGAAGGTTCGCACCAACTGATGTTTTCACCAGTTTCCTTTTTGCTCTGTTCCAATCTGTGCTAAGGGGGACAACAGATGAAAAGGAACCATACCAAAATTTCTCCTTTGAAGGTTGCTTACACTAAGACTTTTGAAACGATGCTGAAAGGAGCATTGGACAAGTGATATGTTACATATCTTGGAATGATTTATATTTTAGCCTCCTTACAATGACCTTAATTATTATAAAAACGATAAAGTTGGTCATGTAGAAAACTTAACGTCCCAGTGGATGACCTCATGAATTGGTTCAGCACAAAAGTAGAAAATAGTCACAGTAGATGGCTAAGCTCTTCTTATAAGTTATACTTTTATTAAAAATTACCCTTTCTTGGGGCACCAGGGTGGCTCAGTCAGTTGAGCGTCAGACGCTTGAATTTGGCTCAGATTCATGGTCTCATGATTCGTGAGTTTGACCTGCATTGGACTCTGCCCTAACAGCTTGGAGCCTGCTTGGGATTCTCTACCCCCCACCCTCTCTGTCCCTCCCTTGCTCATGCCCTGTCTCTAAATAAATAAATAAATAAATAAACACTTTTTTAAAAATTACATTTTCTTGAGAACACGAAATTTCAGTATAAGGCAAGATTGTTCCTTGTACATTAAAAACATTTGGAGGAATTTGGGGAGCCTGGGTGACTCTGTTAAGTGTCTGATTTTGGCTCAGGTCATGACCTCATGGTCGGTGGGTTTGAGCCCTGCATCAGGCTGTGTGTTGACAGCTCAGAGCCCGGAGCCTGCTTCAGATTCTGTGTCTCCCTTGCTCTTTCCTTCCCCCCCTACCTCTCTGTCTCAAAAATAAATAAACATTACAAGATTTTTTAAATACTTGGAGGAATTTGAACTTATACAGGAATATTTCGTCAAAAACATGTCAAAATATTTCTAGTCACTGATACTAGAATTGCTACCAGCCAATTTCCAAATACTGTGTTATTTCTGTCAGAAGCACCAAAGATCGTTTTTTTAACATTTTGTTATTTATTTATTTATTTATTTTTAATTTTTTTTTCAACGTTTTTTATTTATTTTGGGGACAGAGAGAGACAGAGCATGAACGGGGGAGGGGCAGAGAGAGAGGGAGACACAGAATCGGAAACAGGCTCCAGGCTCCGAGCCATCAGCCCAGAGTCTGACGCGGGGCTCGAACTCACGGACCGCGAGATCGTGACCTGGCTGAAGTCGGACGCTCAACCGACTGCGCCACCCTGGCGCCCCTGTTATTTATTTTTGAAAGAGAGAGAGAGAGAGGGAGAGAGAGAGAGAGAGAGTGTGTGTGTGTGTGTGTGTGTGTGTGTGTGTGTGTGTGTGAGTGGAAGAAGGGCAGAGAGAGAAAGAGGGAAACAGAAGATCTGAAGCAGGCTTTGTGTGGTCAGCAGGGCTTGAACTCACAAACTGTGAGATCATGACCTGGGCAGAAGTTGGACACTTAGCCCACTGAGCCAACCAGGTGCTCCTACCAAAGAGCATTTTTGAAAGGGCATGAATTCTCCTAAAGCTTAAATATAATGACAAAGATCCTAATTACCCAGGAGAATCCTTTATGGATGCATCATTTGTATAAAGTTATCTCAGATTATTTCGTTCTGTCCTTGTTTTCCAGCTTCTGAAATTAGACCATGAAGGTGTATACATTTGCAACCGATTTCCTTTTAATTGTCCTAACTTTGCAAACTTTATGTTTCGATGTATATAGCTGACTTTCTTCACCTCTAACTGAAATTTTTATTGAAATCATTATAGATTCATATGCATTTATAAGAAATAATACAGAGATCCCTTGTACACTATTTACAGTTTACCCCCAAATGATAACATTTTGCGAAACTACAGTACAATATCACAACCAGGATATTGACATTAATAAAATCCATCAACTTTATTCTGATTTCCCCAGTTTTACTTATACCTAGTTGTGTGTACGTGAACTTGTATACAATATTATCCCTTGCGTAGGTTCATATATCCACCACAGTTGGGATACTAAACACTTCAAGGATCCCTCTGCGTTCTCTTTGTAAAATAAAAGTTGTTCCTTTATAATAAGGACACTCACCTTCCTCCCACCTCCTCTGAAAGGACCGTCCTCACTCCAACTCCCGGCAGCCTGTCTTCCCCTGAAAGTTTGTTATTTCAAAAGTGGGATGTAAATGGACCCATACAGTATGTAACCTTTTGGAACTGGCTTCCTTAGCTCAGCAAAGTTTCCTGGTGCTTCACCCAAATTGTTGTACGTATCAGTAGCCCATCCTTTTTTGTTGCTGAGCAGTTTTCCATGCTGCATATTTACCTCACTTTGTTGAACCGTTCACCTACAGAAAGACATCTTGGCTGACTCCAATTTTTAGTTGCTATGGATAAAGCTGCTATCAACACTTGAGTACAGTTTTTTGTGTGAACGTGAGTATTCATTTTTCCGGGATAAATGCCCAGAAACGCAATCGCCGAGTTGGGTCGTAGTTAGATGTTTAATTTTGTTTTAACCGCCAAACTCTTTTCCAGAGTGGCCCAACCATTTTAAACTTCCATCAGCAATGCATGAGTGCCCCAGTTCTCCACAGCCTCACCAGCACTGGCTGCCGTCACTATTTTTTATTTTAGCCATTCTGGTGGGTGTGTCGTGATATCTCATTGTTATTTAATTTGCATTTCCCTAAATGCTAATGATTCTGAACATCTTTTCATGTGATTCCTTGCCATCTATATGGGTTTGAGGTTAAGTTTGAGGTTTTGTGTGTGTGGTCTTTTTTTCATTTTGCTTATTTAGTTGCTTTTTCAACTGCTCCAGCTCTGTTTCTAAAGAAAAAATCTACCATTCTCCTTTGAATTGGTTTTGCCCCTTTGTCAAGAAACAGTCAAGTATATTTGTGGGGGTCTATTTCTAAGTTTTCTATTCTGCTGCATTGAGTTCTATGGGTGTCCCTCTGCTAATACCATATTCTGGATTACTGTAGCTATATAATTATAAAGCCATACTATCAGGACGAGTAATGCTTTTCACTTTATTCTTTTTTCATGATTGTTAAAGCTATTCTAGGGCCTGTAACTCTCCATATAAATTTTCAAATAAGCTTGTTTATGTCCTCAAAAACTCTTGCTGGAATTTTGATAGGAATTGCACTAAATCTATAGAAGAATTTGAGAATTGACATGTTTACTCAGTTGAGATTTCCACTCTGTGAATTTGATATGTCTCTCCATTTACTTATGTCTCCTTTGATTTCCTTTGTCAGCATTTAAAATTTTTTAGCCTTTTAGAATTTTCTGCATACAGATTCTGTACATAGTTTCTTATAGGCATATCTAAGTATTACATTTTCTTTGGAGCAATGATAAATGGTAATTGCATCATTTAAAAAGTTTTTACAATGTTTTATTTATTTTTGAGAGAGAGGCAGACAGACAGACAGACACAGAGTGCAAGTGGGGAAGGGGCAGAAAGAAAGGGAGACACAGAATTGGAAGCAGGCTCCAGGTTCTGAGCTGTCAACACAGAGCTCGACGCAGGCTCAAACCCATGAACTGTGAGATTATGACCTGAGCCAAAGTCGAACACTTAACCGGCTGAGCCACCCAGGCACCGCAGTAACTGCATTATTAATTGTAGTTTCTGAATATCCATTCTTAGTATATAGAAATGTGTTTGGTTTTTGGGTATTGAGCTTGTACTCTGTGATCTTGCTGAATTTCCCTACTAGTCCATGGGGCTTTATTTTGTAGATTTCTTGAGATTTTGTGGGTAGATAATCTTGTCAATTGCCAAGAGAGATTGTTTTACTTCTTCCTTTCTAAAATGTATGCCTTTTCTTTCCTTTTCTTGCCTTATCACAGTGGTTAGCACTCCCGTTGCTATAGTGATTAAGATGCTGAGAGTGGGTGTGCTTACCTTGACCTTAGACTTGTACCATCAAGTATGATAGTAGTTGCAGGTTTTCTGTAGAGGGCTGTGCTAATGACCTGATGTTCCGAATTTTCTGGAAGTTTTGATCATGAACAGGTGTTTGCAGCCAAATGCTTTTTAGGCATCAGCTGGCATGATGTTATGATTTTTCTTCTTTAGCCTATTACATGGTAGATTACACTGACTGACTTTTGAATATTTAACCAGCCTTGTAAAACTAGGAATAAATCCCTCCTCATGATGACGTACATTTTTTTTTAACACAGTTACGATTGGTTTACTAATGTTTTGGTTAAAGATTTTTGCATCTATGTTCATGAGAAATATTAGTCTGTACATTTGCTGTTCGTTTGGTTTTTGGTGCAGACTTTGTCTGGTTTTGGTATGAGGATAATACTAGTCTCAAAAAGTAAGTTGGGAAGCATTATCTCCTCTTCTTTTATCTGGAAGAGATTGTGTAAAATGGGTATCAATTCATCTTTGAAAGAGGTTCTGGTACTTGTGCTTCCTCACCCCACCTCCCCATGTTTATGAGTGAAGGAGGACAGTTTCAGACCTGTGGGGACAAAGAGATCTCCCAGATCAGGCTATGGACTCTCATCTGCTAGCCCTGCCCTATCTCCCTCACTATCTCTCAGTGGGAAAGGATTGAAAAGGAGAGTCTCAGATCCAGCAGAGAAAAACAGTACCTCCTCTGGTCTCTTATTTCTGGCAATGTTCCCAATCCATCCCCCTTCTTGGCAATGTCAGGCTCACTTGATGTTGTTAGAGGGACTTCAGTGTAATCTAGGGGAAGGAGTGAGCCCACCTGAGTTGCCTTCTATTGCTAAGTTGAAAGTCAAGAAACTCTGGATCTGGGTGACCTTCTTTTGTTGGGTTGGAGTACAGGAGACACCCTAACTACCGTTCTTGTAAACACATTTTACATTTCTCCTTTGGTTGTCTCTTGCACCATTTCTAAGGCTTATAGTTATGCTTAGCAGGAAGGCGCAGGGGAAAAAGAGGTCTATACCACCTTGTCTCATTTGAAAGTGACCTTCACTTTTCATCATAGATGCACAAGGACTGACTCAGTTCCAAAAGGTCTTGAATTACTTGAATTCTGCATAAGCGGACAAGGATTTACCACGACGATGAAGAAGACGAGGAGACAGAGCCATTCATCACTGGAATTGACCTCAAGCTGATACAGCACAAATGACAAAGAAGAAAAAACAAACCAACAACATGAAACAGGGAACAAAGTTCTCTTCTTTGTAATCGCTGCTGGCCAGTCCATCTTTTCTGGGTATTTACCTCTCTGCTTCATGTTTTCAATGTAAAGCAAAGTTTTTTATATCTAACATTGTATTACTTGCACTGGGAAAGATTTGTGAAACGTGGAGGGCAGCTGTAGCTATCGATCAAACAGGAGATTCAAAAGTTTAGCTCAAAATCTTGGGCGAGCACAGAACGTCTTATCATCCAGCAGCCCTGAATTAAAACTTTTTTTTAATGTTTATTTATTTTTGAGACAGAGAGAGACAGAGCATGAACAGGGGAGGGTCAGAGAGAGAGGGAGACACAGAATCTGAAGCAGGCTCCAGGGTCTGAGCTGTCAGAACAGAGCCCGACGCGGAGCTCGAACTCACGGACCGTGAGATCATGACCTGAGCCAAAGTCGGACGCTTAACCGACTGAGTCACCCAGGCACCCCCCAGCAGCCCTGAATTAAATGAGACATCAGGATGATGATTAGAAGTAACATGTATTTATTCCTTATGTTAGTACCTTATCTTCCTTCTTTTCTTGTTCAATCCTCGTTTTTCGAGAAACCATATTGCTTCCTGCATGGATATTATGTCCTACCTGGGAGAGAAGCTGCTTTAACTCCAGACACTTGATTATCGATTAACTTTTGCCTGTGAAAGTGAAACTGGATATTATTTATTGAAACTCCTTACTGAAATTTCATTTAAATAGGCCAACATTTGAGATTCTAAAAAAAGAGTAGCACATCCTTTGGCTAAAGTGGATTGCATTGAAATAACAGAGGAAATTATCTTAGACACAGCTTGGGTCCTATGCTTGCTTTTTTGAAACCAGCCTAATTACCACATAAGTGACATTTTCTAAATTCTTTATTGATGTACTCTGACTTTTTTTTAAAGCATGTTTATTGGGGGTTGGGGGGATGGGCAGAGAGAGAGAGGGAGACACAGAATCTGAAGCAGGCTCCAGGCTCTGAGCTGTCAGCACAGAGGCCGACGTGGGACTCGAACCAACGGACCTGGAGATCGTGCCGTGAGCCGAAGTCAGACGCTTAACCGACTGAGCCACCCAGGCGCCCCAGTTCTGACTTCAGGATGATCCACCCACTTTGGGGTTGGTGCTCCCATTTGCAAAGAACGACATAGCGGAAGGAAGTTACTTTGCACAGTTATAATATGCAAATAATTGTTATGAAACCCAATTCCATGTGACACTAGTGTAAGAAGTACATTAGGTAGAGTCATAACAATATACCGGGTAGTGTTCCCCAAACTCTCAAGGAATAGATCTAACTCACTACAAAAGCCAACTGGCTTTAAGTAATATTTACCAGTGAGTATTACTCCTCTTAAGAAAATGCTCATAATAGCAACTGTATTTGGGCTCTAAAAATACTACTCTCCCACTGCACACACACTACTAGCAACAGAGGTTCAACTGGAAGTCTTGAAAGGAATGCTTCTGTGTTACGAAATGTCTACAGATTCTTTAGAACTGTGTTAAATTTACTTAAATAGAACATGTTCACAATCGTGCCGTACTTAGACTTCAGGATTCTTCTGAATCACAGAAGAATGTTTGTATTTTTAAACGATACCAAGAGGGGCCCCCGCAGTCACTGGAATTTGTGGAGATGTAGAAAGCACAACTAAAACCTACCTAACGTTGATTCTGTGCCATTTGTAAGTTTCTCAAGAAAGTATTAGACTGCCTTATTTATTATAGCCCATGTTAATATATTCAGGTGACTTAGCGTTACAGTCTATTATTTCTGCATTCATGAATTAACTTTTTAAGTCTGGGTACCCTAAGTTTCTATTCCACATGCAAGAACCCAGTCTCTGCTTGCTTATACTTTCTCAGTGATCGTCAAGGACTTTATGGAAAGACTATTACACACCAGGTAGCAGTTTGTGAACTCCTTGAGAGCAGGGATCCAGTCTTATTTATCTGCATTAGACCTAGGACTTGGTGCCCCGTCTTATATAGAATGGCCTGATGGGTGTTCTCCCATGTATTTGTTCAATTAATTTTTGTAAAGGAACTACAATTGCTTGAACTACTATTTATATACGAAGCATTGGTGCTAAGCCATAATCTTCACAAAACTGGCAAGACACACACGTATGGGTTAAGCAATCTTTTGATGGCAAATAACAGGACATACACCAAAACCCAGCTTTGGTAACAGAAGGAATATATCAGCTAAAAAGTCCAGCAGTAGGTGAGGTTTCAGGTACAGTGTCAAGACTGCTGGGGCTGAATTTCTCTGCAGTTTCCTTAGCCCTGCCCTCTTTCATGTGTCAAATTCACTGTCAGCTGACTTCCTTCTGGTAGAATAATGGCTGCAACTGCTCTGAGACTCCCATCAACAGTCAGCACCATATATAGGGATAGAGTGTTCCTTACAGTAGGAGAGTTAGTACATATCCCGAAAGTCCCCCTAAAATGTCTCTCCATACAGCTCTAGCCTAAATTGGGTGAAATGATTGGCTTACACCCATGAAAGTCAACTCTTAGAGGTAAGATTGAGTTTCATCTTTGCCAAACTTCCACTGGCTGCGACATACGGGATTTTCCCAAGACAGCCAATGAGAGAACTGAATCCTGGATAGGTAACTGACATAAGTCCACTAACCATATCGTTAGCCCCGCTTAAGTCTCAGAGACTTCACGCGTTGCCTGAGGTGGAGAGTGGTTTCAAATTGGGTTCTGATTCTGAAGCGTGGCTTCTTTTCACTTCACATTGTATCACGAGATTGGAGAAACTACCGGAAAGCATAAAACATCATCCTTATCCTAACTTTAGAAAACTAAAACTGGGGGCGCCTGGGTGGCTCAATCGTTTAAGCGTCCAACCTCTGCTCAGATCATGATGTCCCATTTGGTGAGTTTGCGCCAGATGAGGGGCTCTGTGCTGACAGCTCAAAACCTGGAGCCTGCTTTGGATTCTGTGTCTCCTCCTCCTCTGCCCCTCCCCCACTTGTGTGTGCACGTGAGCTCTCTCTCTCTCTCTCAAAAATAAATCAACATAAAGAAAAAGGAAGAAAACTAAAACTGAAGTAGTCCTAAAGTCCTAGGAAGAAATATGACTTCAATAGAATGTCTTCCCCACCCCCATCCCCCAGCATGCATCCTCCTTCCACATTTCCTAATGCACTAGAACCTTTCACATCTTTCCAGTCCTAACCAAGTGCTCTCATACTTCCATGGCAGTGGTCCATGCTCCAAAATGATCTCCCTCTCTTAATTTTCATTGAACATCCAAGTCTTTAGATGTTAGATGAAACAATTCCCCATTAAAAATAATAATGCAGAACAACCACTTCTGGGGATATTTGCAACACCCATCATGGTACTTGGTGGACACAACCCCTCATACTCCTTGCCCCCAAGAATCTCTCCAGGAGGAATTCCAAGGGAGAGAGATACCAAAAAGTAGGTGAGAATTTTGTTGCAGACAAACCCTCCCAGAATCCCTGGGCTCCAACTCTGAAAGTGATTTCCTTACCTCCGCGCATGAGCCTCCTGGAGTGCCCAACTGTCTTCCCTCGAAAAGCGTAGACTTCTTCCCAAGAGTCTTGTCTTCTGCCTAGAGTGCTCCCATTGGATCCTCTTCTTGTCCCACTCCCATACATTTTCAAGCATTTTTTTTTATATTTAAGAGTTGTCATTTGATTGGTGTTTTTGTGTGTTTGCGTGTGATGGCTGTTTCATTTTCTGCTGGTTCTTTTCTCTAGTGTGCTTAACCTAATAATTATCTTCACTTAAAAAAGACTTCCGGGAGCACCTGGGTGGCTCAGTCAGTTAAGCGTCCGTCTCTTGATTTCGGTTCAGATCATGATCTCACAGTTTGTGGGTTCAAGCCCCACATTGGGCTCTGTGCTGACAGCGTGGAGTCTGCTTGGTCCTTTGTCTCCATCTCTCTGCCCCTCCCCCCCTTTCTCAAATAAATAAATAAATAAAATTTTTAAAAAGGATTCGAGATTCAAATTGCCTTTGAATATGATTTTATCCTCCCCACCCCTCCAAAACAAACAGGTTTCACTTTCCTAACGTCGTTAAACACAACAAGAACTGACAACAAGAGAAGAAAGGCTGAAAGCCCAGTATGCCTTAAAAAGCCTAGAAATTCATCTTTTTAAGAATGATACGCCTTGGAATTTACTCATTAAAATGTCACTCAGCTCTTTGTCAGTCATGCAAAGCCAACCACAACTGAATTCTAAATTCAGGAACCTGGAATGGGGTTCAGTGGTACAATTTTGTTGAAGCCCTAATGGCTTCAGGGGGAAAAAAGGGAAGTTACAATATCTCAAATTGGCAGCGTGCGTCTGGCCAGATCTAGTTTGGGCTGGTGAGAGCCAGACCGAGGATTCTTCAGGACTCTTTTAAGAGAGCCAGAATTAGACTATGGGTTTTAGGTTACTGACCCTGGCTTTGATGCATGCCGGCGACTAGAAGTCTGTGTTTAATTGTTTTACCCTCCTAAGCCTCACCAGTGTTTCCCCCTGCGTTGCAGTCGCAAACATGTTTGCCATTTAGCTGCCTGCATCTAGGACATCCCTTCCCGCCCACTACCCACGCATAGAAATACTGCTCTTTCAATATTCTGAGCTGTTCAGCCACTGCAGAATCAACCCACACGCAGTAACTCTTAAAGTACTGATTATGTCCTCCTTAGACTCTGATACGTTAAATTCTGTTGTTTTTCCTAATTGAATGCAACATTTTACATATTTACAGCCTTTTCTCTGAGATGGATTTCAAAAGACCCTTACGGACCTCTGCAAGGCAACTTCGCAATTGTGAGAATTTTGCATAATTCTTATTCCTAGCAGAATGGGGTTTCTTTTAAGAAAAGAAAAACTGGAATTATATAAACCAGGGAATTTCAGATACGGGTGGCAATTCCCTTGCACGTAACCATTTAAACTGAAATTAACTAACTGATGGGTGTGGTTCTGTCTGCCAACTTTGTAGAGCATTCCCCACATTCATAATGCGACACTACACTGGGGGTGGGGAACCGAGGGT